AAGTAGCATGGACCAAGAAGTTGGGGTGAAAGTGCAAGGCCCTCCAGGTCACCAGGCAGGCTGAAACCACAGGTGTCTTACGGAGTGAGTGGAGTGAGCGCTGTGACGTGGCCCAGGGATTACTGAGGAGCCTTTTGGAAAGGACCTTTCAAACTGTAGCATACTTCAACCTTGTGATCATTTTGGTTTTGTTAAATCAGCTAAGTTGAGTGATACTAGGAATGTGAAAAGTCAGGAGGCTGTAGATGACATTTCTGATTATCTCCAGTTTATGATATACAGACCAAATTCCATGTTGTCAGGTACTCATATAATTAAAACTAAAAAAGAAAGAAAAAACATTAAAAATAGTTACTGACTGTTTATTCTTAGCAGTAATCTCAGGAACGAAGTCAAAGCCAATATAAATTCAGACATTTCCCTCAAGGTCATTCATAGCAAATATTTGTTGAGCATTAACTCTGAGCCAGGAAGTGCTTTGAGCTGATTTGTGGTGCTGCAGTCTGCTGGATATTGGGCATTTACATAGCTATGTGTGTTAAAGAATTAAAGAGAAAAGAATTTAGGGGCCAGCCAGTGTTGTGGCATAGCAGGTAAAGCCACCGCCTGCAGTGCCAGCATCCCATATGGGTGCCAGTTTGAGTCCCTGATGCTCCACTTCCGATCCAGGTCTCTGCTGTGGCCTGAGAGAGCAGTAGAATATGGCCCATGTGCTTGGGCCCCTGCATCCACCTGGCTTTGGATGGTCCAACCATTTGGGGAGTGAACCAGAAATGGAAGACTCTCTCTCTGCCTCTCTAACTCTGCCTTTCAAATAAGTAAATAAATCTTTAAAAAAAAAAAAGAGAGAGAGAGAGAAAATAATTTAGCAGATTAAAATATGTTTTTCATAAAAACATTAAAATTTTTTTACATGTTTTGAACCATGTTACTTACTGTCATTGAGCCTCATTCCATTATCTGTAAAATAGGAGCGTAATATCTGTTGATAGTTTTGACTAATTCCTTGTGATAATAGTAAAACAACTGGAAAAAAAGACTCTATAATAAAGCTCTATGTTAAATCAAATAACCTTTGTCTGAAGAATTATAAAATAATTGCTTTATTCCTTTTTCTAATTTTAGATCTTTTTGTTTTTAATTTATTTATTTGAAAGGCAGAGTTACAGAAAGGCAGAGGCAGAGGTTGAGAGAAAGAGAGAGGTTGTCCATCCGCTGGTTCATCCCCAGATGGTGGCAACAGCTGGAGCTAGGCCAATCCAAAGCCAGGAGCCAGGAGCTTCTTCCAGGTCTCCCATATGGGTGCAGGGGCCCAAGCACGTGGGCCATCTTCTACTGCTTTCCCAGGCCACAGCAGAGAGCTGGATCAGAAGAGGAGCAGCCAGTCTTGAACCAGTGCCCAGTTGGTATGCTGGCTCTGCAAGCAGCATCTTTACTCACTATGCCACAGTGCTGGCCCTTAACTTTAAATCTTTATATGAATATTAGGTTTCCTTAATGCACAAAGTCTTTTATAGTATATTTATATAAAATCTTGGAGAGTAACCTAGTTTCGGCTTTTACTTCTGTAATCTTACAACAAAAATCTGTTTCTCTTTGCTTTTTTCCCTGCAGAATACATTGCACTTTACCCATATTCAAGTGTAGAACCAGGAGATTTGACTTTCACTGAAGGTGAAGAAATACTGGTCACCCAGAAAGATGGAGAGTGGTGGACAGGAAGTATTGGAGATAGAACTGGAATTTTTCCATCAAACTATGTCAAACCAAAAGATCAAGAGGTAGAGTCATTTTACTGTTAACATCATTCCATTCTTGGTGATCATGATTCATACTTAAAACAGAGATTACGTTTGATTGGGCTGTTTTGGTTACAAGGAAATCACTTGAGGTGGCTCCAGTAAAATAGGGATTATTATAGTTCTAGTTAGAGAAAAAAGGGAGATGGGATTTAAATAAATTCTAAGAAAAGGCACTACAGGCAGGGCTGAGCCTTGTGGTCACTGAAGCTGAGGAGTGTTCTGGATTCAGAGACGCTCACAAAGGACCACCTGGAAGGATTTGTGAATCTTGAAGGCTCTAACATTCATGGAACTCATCCTGTGCTCTCTCTTCCTACTTCTTTTCATCCCATTACCAGTATGATGCATTGCAGAAGTTCTCAAACTTCCTACTTCACCAACTTTTTATGTTCTCAAAAAGTACTGGGGCCGGTGTTGTGGTACCATGGGTTAAGCTATTGCCTGCAACTCCAGCAGCCCATGTGGACTCCCGCTGGAGTCCCAGCTGCTCCCCTTCCAATCCAGCTCCCTGCCAGTGTGTGCGGGAAAGGAGCAGAAGATGGCTGCTGACCACACAAATGTTTTTCCCTACAACAACCACTGTACTCTCGTATGTAGTAGAAATGTTTTAGGTACACTTTGTTAGTCACTCACAGTTTTTATTTTTTCTTAAAGATTTATTTATTTATTTGAAAAGTTGAGTTAGAAGGGGAGGGAGAAATAGAGAGGTCTTCCATCCACTGGCTCACTCCTCAAATGGCCACAACAGCCAGGGCTGCACAGATCTGAAGCCTGGAGCGAGGAGCTTCCTCTGGGTCTCTTACATGGGTGCAGGAGCTCAAGGATGTGGGCAGTCTTCCACTGCCTTCTCAGGTACATCAGCAGGGAGATGGGTCAGAAGTGGAACAGCCAGGACTTGAACCGGTGCCCATAAGGGATACCAGCACTGCAGGTGGAAGCTTAACCTTCTAAACCACAGTGCCAGCCCATTTTTATTTTTATTTTTCTATTTAAAGCTTTATTTATTAATTACTTAATTTGAAAGGCAGAATGACATAGAGGGAGACACACACACACACAAATTTTCCGTCTGCTGATTCACTTCCCAAATGGCTGCAACAGCCTGGACTAGACCAGGCCAAAGCCAGAAGCCAGGAACTCCAACGGTGTCGTCCACATATATGGCAGGAGCCCATTTATATGTGGGCCAGTCTTCTGCTGCCTTCCCAAGCACATTAGTGGGAAGCTGGATCAGAAGCAGAGCAACTGGGACTCAAATTGGCACTCGGGTTTTGGCATCACATTGCAGTCGGTGGCTAAACGCACTGGGCCACAACACTGGCCAGCTCTGCTCAGTAGTGTTACTGCAGCTATGTATACACACACACGCAAATTCTTCAAGTTTTTATTCAGATTCCTAAAAATGATAAATATGTTGGTCCATTTTATCCTTCAAAGTCAAACATAAGTCTTAGTTGTTTGTGACTATAGATTTTTTTGTTCTTAGGTCAGGTTCGGTCAGTTTGCTTCCTATTCAGCAGGAACTTAAAATGAGTCAGGGTCTCGTAGAAAAAGCAAGAGCAAAACTCACATATGCCTTAACATATCCAGGATATATGGGTTACATATACTGGATGTGGAGGCTAACCAGTGAGTGGGAGCTGTTTGGCCTGGAGAGTTATGTTTACTAATTAGGAAAGATTCAGAAAATCTGGTTTCAATGGTTGACAGCATCTGCCACGTGGATATAATGTACTCCATTAAGAGACTATATCTCCCTAGGCCGGCGCCACAGCTCACTTGGCTAGTCCTCCGCCTGCGGTGCTGGCACCCCAGGTTCTAGTCCTGGTTGGGGCACTGGATTCTGTCCCAGTTGCTCCTTTTCCAGTCCAGCTCTCTGCTGTGGCCCAAGTGCTTAGGCCCTGTACCCGCGTGGGAGACCGGGAGGAAGCACCTGGCTCCTGGCTCGGATTGGCACAGCATGCTGGCCGTGGTGGCCATTTGAGGAGTGAACCAACAGAAGGAAGACCTTTCTCTCTCTCTCACTATCTAACTCTGCCTGTCAAAAAAAAAAAAAAAAAAAAAAAGAGAGAGAGAGAGAGACAGACTATACCTCCCAAGTGATTTATTCTTCACTTACTTAGTTAATGAAAGGGTCATTGTTATTTTGGTCATAACTTAAAGAAGAATGCTTGGGAATAGAAATCTCTAATTTGTGATAACTTTTGTAATTTTATATCTGGATTGTTGGAAATGATAAAACAGCTTATCCTTTTCTTGTAGAGTTTTGGGAGTGGTAGCAAATCTGGAACATCAAACAAAAAACCCGGTATGTATAACAGTGGTTTTGAAAAATTGCTGCAATATTTGTGCTGTTACAATCTTGGATTCATAGTGCCTTGTTTTTCTTCTTTTCAGAGATTGCTCAAGTAACTTCAGCATATATTGCTTCTGGTTCTGAACAACTTAGCCTTGCACCAGGGCAGTTAATATTAATTCTGAAGAAAAATACAAGTGGGTGGTGGCAAGGGGAGTTACAGGTAATCTTCTTTAATATCTGTCAACGTTAGCATAAAAATAATAAAAATATTAAAAATTTCAGACATTAGCACTTAGAAGTAATGTCTTCATTTTTAGCACAGTTGAATTGCTATTATAAAACAACAAATGAGGGAATAATTTTCTCTAAAGACAGTTGTTTTCCAGTAGTGTGTCCCTTAAAAGATCACAGGTCACCTTAAAGGAAAGCATAGCACCAACCTTGCCTGGGATAGCCCCAGATCGCAGTAAACTGTCTAGAAGGCGTGATTTAGGCCCATACTGAGAAAATACTGTCTCCCAGTGTTACTAGGTTTTGAGGCAGCTGTAGAAGGAAAGTGCAGACAGATGAGCCTGGTACTTTTCTAAAATACTGACAGGTGGTATTTGCATGTTTTGTACACAAAGAGGGTTCTTCTCTCCCTTCTGAAATTTACGTACTAATTAAAAGCATTTTAGGATTAAAAGATGAGGAGAAGTATATATTATAATTATATTTTTAAGATTGATATGTGATTATAATATGAAGGATAAACACAGCTTCATTCTTTAATCAGAATCTTAGGATTCCTAAAGAAAAATGGGGGTTCAAATTCAGCATCTTCTCAAATAGCCCTGTGAGTTTCCACCTTCTGATTTACTCTGAAGATGCGTGTACCCAACGAAGTGAGAGACAAAGCTCACCACAAATTTATGGCCTCTTGATTATTAACAAAATTCCAAGAGGTGTTCACAGTTGGCTTTACCATTTTAGGAGTTGAGTTGAACTTACTAGAAAAACTCAGAAAGCTCTTTTTAGATTATGTATTCAGAAAACTCTCAGCCTGAAAGACCACTCAATACTTGTACAGGTGGCGGATGCAGCAGCACTTGGAGGTGCCTGTTTTATTGAGTCTTCTGATGTTGACTGAGAGACAATGCTGAGTTCAAGGGTCCCCATCACCACACTCACTTTTGAAGCCAACTTCATGTTTGAGGGTCCCCAAGACTACTGTCAAGTTTGATCATTCACTGTGATAATTTCACAGAACTCATTAAAAGCTGCTATGCTCCTAGTTACAGTGCATTTCCATGAAAGATTATAGCCTAGGACAGAGGCATGTGGGGTGAAGTACAAGAGGATTCCAAAAGGAAACTTCCAGTTGTCCTCTCCCAGTGGAGTCAGAGACAGCATTTGCTCCTCCTAGTGATGGTATGTGACAGTACTCACAGAGTGTGGCCAACCAGGGAAACTCTCCAGACAGAGCCTTAGCGTCCAGAGTCTGTATTGGGGTACCATCACATAGATACCATTGATTGCCCATCCAGCCAAACTCAGTCTCCAGCCCCTTCAGAGGCTGAACTAATAATGCATGACCTAAGGCAACCACCATAACTCACATCACTAGATTTAGCATGGCCCAAAGGCCTCGGGTAAATTAGACACTCTTGTCAGTCAGGATATTCTAATAGCAAAAGCCAGTCCTCTCTCTAAGATTCAATTCTTTGCTACACAAAGTTTTTCTGATTTTTGAGTTATGTCTCAGGTGATTGTTTTAATCTTATCTTTCAATTGTATATTATTTTCCTTATTTTATAGGCCAGAGGGAAAAAGCGACAGAAGGGATGGTTTCCCGCCAGCCATGTTAAACTTCTGGGTCCAAGTAGTGAGAGAACCACACCTGCCTTTCATGCTGGTATGAAAGTGGATTAACATGTATTTTATCTTAGATGAGTTTATTAAAACTCAGCTGCTTAAATTGCTAACTCTTTGAGACATACAAAACAAACACCCTCTCCTTACTACTTGAAAGTCATGTGCCACTGATAACTTCCCTCCTGAAAGTTCTGTGTAGAATTAGCCTACTGCTCACTGATGCCCGAACCATTTCACTTCTTGAAATTTTTTTTTAATGTTAAGGATTTGTTTATTTATGTGAAAGGCAGAGTGCCATTGACAAGAGAGAGACAGAGAGATACCTTCCATCTTCTGGTTCACTCTCCCAGTGGGCCAGTCTGAAGCCAGGAGCCAGAATTTCCATCTGGTCTCCCACATGGGTGGCAGAAATAGAAGTACTTGGGCCATCATCCACTGCCTTCCCAAATACATTAACAGGAAGCTGGGTTGGAAGTGACGTATCTGGCACTGGAACTGGCACTCCTGTATGGGATACCAGCATCACAGGTTGCAGCTTAACCCATCACACCACAGTGCCAGCCCCTCCTTGAAGTTTTTCCATGTGAGATTGCTATACCATAATACTTGAAGTGAAGCAGTTCACTTGGGCTTTTAACTGTAGTTGGGAAATTCATGTTTTCATAAGATACGGAATGAGAGGAGGGTTAGAGAGAGGGAAATTTTAGCCTGATGTTAAGAGTTAATATGGCCGGTGTTGCGGCTCACTTGGCTAATCCTCCGCCTGCGGCTCCGGCACACCGGGTTCTAGTCCCGGTTGGGGTGCCGGATTCTGTCCTGGTTGCTCCTCTTCCAGTCCAGCTCTCTGCTGTGGCCCGGGAAGGCAATGGAGGATGGCCCAAGTGCATGGGCCCTGCACCCTCATGGGAGACCAGGAGAAGCACCTGGCTCCTGGCTTCGGATCAGTGCAGCACGCCGCCCATAGCAGCCATGTGGGGAGTGAACCAATGGAAGGAAGACCTTTCTCTCTGTCTCTCTCTCTCTCACTGTCTAACTCTGCCTGTCAAAAAAAAAAAAAAAGAGTTAATATAACAGTAATTTAAATCCTTGGGAAGTGTTGACATTTGATTCTTGCAGGAGTAATTAATTTGTTATTTTGTCATTTTTCTGCTAGTATGTCAAGTGATTGCCATGTATGACTATGTCGCAAATAATGAGGATGAGCTCAATTTCTCCAAGGGACAACTTATTAATGTGATGAACAAAGATGATCCTGACTGGTGGCAAGGAGAAATAAATGGGGTGACGGGTCTCTTTCCTTCCAACTACGTCAAGATGACAACAGACTCAGATCCAAGTCAACAGTGTGAGTAATATCAAATTATTTACCTCTCATCTCACATGAAGACTGTTGTAGATTAGATCTTAAACTCAGCACTAAAAGCAAATGTACAGTAATATATAAAATAAAGAAAAACAAAGGAAATTTTTTAGAAGATCAAAAGTTATACTGCTTTATTTTAAATACTTTTGCCAGCTTCAGACCTTCATATTAGACTTACTTGAAGACAAATGTACAGTTTCTCTTCTGGGTACTGTGGCATGACAGATGTCAATACTGCAACGTGCCTCAACCACCATGCTTTTCTTTAGCATCTAATCTTTTTTTGGCTTAATGAGTGGTAGCTAGTCCTGTAGTTGTCCTATTCACCATTTCAAAATGATCCTTTTAGTGGACGGAAGCCATTAGTTTTGGGATCTTCTCATTTCCATGTATTTAACACATTATCTATGTTGGAAGCAAATTAAATAACCTGTTTAAAACTCCCATGGGTGATTCTGTAGATGGCCTCTTCATGCCACAAGGAATACATAGTGCAGGATCTATTTCATATTTTCAGAACAGGGGTCTAGATCTCAAAGTGTGAAATTTGCTGTTATGGAAAATGATTTCTTCTGGGGATGGCATTGTGATGTAACAGGCTAAGCCACCACCTGCAGTGCTGGTATCCCCATATGAGCACCAGTTTGAGTACTGGCTTCTCCACTTCTGATCTAACTCCCTGCTAATGGCCTGGGAAAGCAGAGGAAGATGACCAAGTACTTGGGCCCCTCTCTCCATGTGGGAGGCCCTGATGAAGCTCCTGGCTCCTGACTTTGGCCTGGCCCAACTGAAGCTGTTGTGGCCATTTGGGGAGTGACTCAGCAGGTGAAAGATCTCTCTCTCTCTTTCTCTCTCTCTCACTGTAACTGTGCCTTTCAAATAAATAAAATAAATCTCCTTAAAAAATGATTTCTCCATAGTTTCCTAGCCTTTCTTATGGTTGACGATAAACACAGCATTAATAATAAAGAATAAGCAGTACTTGGAATAACTGTTTACCTTTATAATAGATGTTACTTTTTCTTCCCCTTTTGATTTTTTTAGTTTTGTTTATAAAATACATCGTGATTTGCATTTTTTATCGTTCTTGTGATATTATTTAAAATATTTAGCCTTTCATTTTAATCTAGTTGCTGAGACCATGTAAATGATGACCCAGTGAAAACTGAGAACACTTAGGATTTAGTGCAACAATTATGAATTTATTTTGTGCTGTGACATTGTGCGTGACTTCTGCACTAGGGCTTGTAAAGGTAACTCTGGTCCTGAGAGAGGATTTCCCTTCATCTTTTTTTTTTTTTTTTTAAAGACTTATTTTATTTATTTGAAAGGCAGAGTTAGAGAGAGAGACAGAGGGAGGGAGAGATAGATCTTATATCTACTGATTCATTTCCCAAATGTCCACCATGACCATGGTTGAGCCAGGCCAAAGCCAGGAGCCAGGAGCTTCATCTGAGTCTCCCTCATGGGTGCAGGGACGCAAGTACTTGGGCCATCTTCCACTGCTTTCCCAGGCCATTGGCAGGAAGCTGGATTGGAAGTGGCGTAGCTGGGACTGGAACCTGTGCCCATATGGGATACTGGCATTGCAGACAACAGCTTAACTCATTAAGCCACAACACCAGCCCCTCTCTTTATCTTTTTAGATACAGCAACTAAGAGGAATCCCTTTTATGGCTTAAATATTCCCCAAAATGTCTCAGGATCTCAGGAGAAGTGGTAAAGAAAATAGCAACAATTTTGGTTATCTAATAACCGTTTTTAAGCTTTGCTGGTCAATTGGTAGTTTACAGGGATTACTTAGAAATCAGTTTATCAGGGTCAGCGTTGTGCCTGTGATGGCTGCATCCAGTATGGGCTCCGGTTCCTGTCCTGGCTGCTCTGCTTCAGTCCAGCTCCCTGCTGATGCTCCTGGGGAAGCAGAGGGAGATGGCTGAAGTGTTTGAGCCCTTGTGCCCACATGGGGACCTGGAAGACCTTCCGGACTCCCAGCTTCCGCTTGGCTCATCCCCCAGCCATTGCAGCCATTTGGAGAGTGAACCAGTGGAAAGAGGTTCTCTCTCCTCCTTTCTCTGTAACACTGCCTTTCAAAAATAAATGAAAATAAATCTGTAACAAAAAGAAAAGAAAAATCAGTTTGTCTGATTAACTGGAAACACTATGACATCTATCTTGGAGCTGAGGGGGAAAGTGCTTCTAAGACCTGTGTCTGGAAGACCCTTGGCCGTCAGCCCTCTGGCGTCATCCCAGTATGGCAGTGCATTTTGCTTTTACAGCATCTACGATCTGCAGTGATGCTCTTCTCAAATATTATTGTTTTTAAATCTAGTTTTCCAGTTGCGGAACGTAGTTTTATTATTATTTTTTTTTTTTTGGAGGGGGTACATAGTTTTCAGATTAAATCTCATAATGAGGAATATAAATAACAGATAAAAGCTATTCTAAAGGAAGGACTGAACTGTGCCCCACGCCCTCTCTTCCCTTCCTTTCAGGTTTCCCTCTAGGGATAATTTAAGAATCACTATCTGGGCTGGCGCCACAGCTTACTTGGCTAATCCTCCGCCTGCGGCTCCGGCACCCTGGGTTCTAGTCCTGGTTGGGGCGCCAGTTTCTGTCCCAGTTGCTCCTTTTCCAGTCCAGCTCTCTGCTGTGGCCCGGGAGTGCAGTGGAGGGTGGCCCAAGTGCTTGGGCCCTGCACGAGCATGGGAGACCAGGAGAAGCACCTGGCTCCTGGCTTCAGATCGGTGCAGCGCACCAGCCACAGCACACTGGCCATAGCGGCCATGTGGGGAGTGAACCAACGGAAGGAAGACCTTTCTCTCTGTCTCTCTCTCTCTCACTGTCTAAACTCTGCCTGTCAAAAAATAAAGTAAAAGAAAAAAGAAAAATCACTATCTGGAACCTGTGGTTAGCCTGCAGTCACAGCACTGCATCCACACCCAGGCTCCATCTCTGAATGTGGCTCCTCACTCAGCGTCCTGCTAGTGGGAACCCTGGGAAGCAGTGGTGGTAGCTCAAGTAATTGGGTTCCTGCCTCCCACACGAGAGACCTGGGTTGTGTTCCTGGTTCCTGGCTGTGGTCCAGTCCAGTCCGTGAGGGCATGTAGGGAGTGCACAAGCAGATGAGAGCAGCTCTCTCCAACCCCCTCCCTTTTTCTCCCTGCCTCAAGTAAATTTGTAAAAATCTCTGTCCTGGAGAAATCTACTTCAAGACAGTGGCAGCCCTCCTGGGAAAGTAGCCTTCCCAGAAAGTTAAAGGAATGACAACTTTTTTTATTCTTTTTTTTTTTTTTTAAGATTTTATTTTATTTATTTGAAAGAGTGACAGAGAGAGAGGAAGAGACAGAGAAAGATCTTCTACCAGTGGTTCACTTCCTAAGCGACTGTAACAGCCAGGTCTGGACCAAGCCAAAGCCAGGAACCAGGAGCTCCATCCAGTTCTCCCCCATGGATGGCAGGGGCCCAAGTACTTGGGCCATTTTCTGCTGCCTTCCAAGGCATTGGAAGTGGAGCAGCAGGGACCCAAACCCGCACTCCCATATGGGATGCTGGCATCACAAGTGATGGCTTGACCTGCTGTGTCACATGCCAGCTCCAACATTTTATTCCTAAAAGCAGCAGCATAGTAGGCTGTCGGTAAATGTTTGATACATGAGTGATACCTTAGTTAGATTGACATGAATTAGTTATCTGAAGGCACAGTTGCCATGGAAATTACTTTTGAACGGAGCATGCTTTGCTTACTGTTCTAGCATGAGAAGCTGTCAGAGCCTCAGTTTCCCTACACAAAGTCCCCAGTCTGAATAGCGCTATCCAGTAGGACTTTCTGTAATGAAGAAAGCAGTCTGCACTGTCCAGTACAGTGGCCACTAGCCGTGTGGTCTTTAAGCCCTTGGAATGTGGCTGATGTGATTTAGAAACTCAACTTTGAATTCTTGCTTATTTTAATTAACTAAAGCCATTAGCACTTGTGGCTGGTGACTGCTGCACTGGGCAGCACAACTCTGGAAGCAACCAATGTCAAGCCCTCCCTGAAATGAAACAAGGTAACAGCAGCAGTGAAACGCAGAAATAAGAAAAAGAAGTTATCCCTCGGTCAATACTGACCTACACAGTATTTCAAAGGGACAAGTCCCCGTGGGCTTCAGACTTCACTTTTTAGGGTATTTTTGGGTTGTATATGAACATTCTTTTCACTATTCAGTTAAGAAGTTTATCCCTTTGGTAAGTTTTCCGTGAGTGTCTTCCATGTGCTTATTAGGCCCTGGGAATACAAACGTGAAAGGACCATCCTCGCTGTGAGGTAGCTTTGGAGTTGAGTGAAGAACTGATATTCAGATAATAACAGTTGCTATGATGAATATTAGTGCAAATGTGTGTTGGGAAAAGATCCCTTAAATCTTCAAGAGGAGAGAAGGCAGGTGGAGAGCAGCTTCAGAGAGGGTTTCTGGACTGGCACCTGGAAAAGCGCCTGCAGTGGGGACCAGGGGCTTGGTCACCGTGCAGATTGAGAGCTGGGAGAATAGAGTTCAGGAGGTTATTTCACGATCTGAGTATTTTCAGAGCTCTCTTTGTTATAAAATTATTACCCACAACCTACCTATTACCTTATTTTTTGTTGATGTATGTGGGTTTTTTGACTTTGATTATTTGGCCTGAATGAATGACCAAATAACTAGTAAATGAATGAGCAAAGGTTCCTCCTCTGTCCTGGAATAACAGGACTCTAAGTAGACAATTCTGAGGATAATTCTTAAATAGATTCTCCTGAGAAGGCTTGTTGTTTCTGTAAGACATCTGTTTAAATCACCCAGGAGAGGGAGGAATACTGATTTTGTTTATTTGAAATAATTACTCATGAGGCATTGAAGACGTAGAACTACCGTTTCAAACAAGTGAAGAATGAATTGTATTGGCAGCTACGTACGAGCCTTCCCTTATACTTTAATGGGGGTGTGCTTCAGGAAATGCTTCACTAGGATAGGGATCAGAAAGGGCCTCCTCCTTAAGGTCAGGAGTTGGTCACATCGTTGTACACTGCTGAGACTTGAGAAGTGAGTCGTTCAGTGACAGTCTTCGTGTGGATCAGTGCTTAAACTGCGGATCACAGTGGTGTGTCTGTAGCCCTTATAAGTATTCTTTCCATTTAATTGTGTAATTAGAACATTTTTTAAAGGTTGAGAATTTTAATAGATCAAATCTGTTTAGTTGGTGTTGCATGTTATTATAAGTCAAATTTTTTCTCACCCACCTGATTTGCATTATGTTCATTTTATTCCTCATTTTTCTTTTTTTAGGACCCAATGTTGTCTTCCAGTTGTGAAAGCACCCCAGAGACCCACTATCCAAGTTTGACTCTAGCGTGGAGGCAGGGCAGGCAGCCCTGATCAAATATCTCCTACACAATTCAGTTACTGCGTTTGAATGTTAGAGCCACTTGTGATTATTTCTTTGTGTTTCTAATTTAGCTAAAATTTATTTGTAACAAATTAAAGGATAGTGGGTCTTTGTGTGGCTTTCCCTGCTGTTCACTCTGGCATCTTTAGCATTTTTCTTCTTTTTTAATTTGGTAACTGTAGGTCATTAGCATGCATATGGAGTTTGCCCTTAACATGGTGGGAGTTCAAACACACAAAGACCCACTATTTGCACAAACTGTTCTCGCTGGTTTGGAATGGGCTGCCTTGCTTTTCTAATGTTATTGCCACATGTATATTCATTACAGAATTCAGATAAAGTTTGCTTATGTTCAGCTGTTATGTTTGATCTAATCCTGATCACAGTGAGCTCTTGGCTTAATGTGTGATTTGCCCTCAATACGCAATGCTTACCTTATTACTTTCTAATATGCCGCTGTAGGTACCAGTATTTTAGATTTGTATGAAGGCCAAGAACTGGAAATAACCCTTCCTCTATTTTCTGTTTTGGGGGTGGGAGCAGTGCCCCTGGGGGGAGTGTTTCTTACCTCGAAGAGGAGGGATGTACCCTGCTCTGACAACTGTGTGCAGAAGATGGCAGTGGTCTGTCTTAGGTGCGCCCATCGAGCACTGTGCTTGGATAGCCCCCTTGGGATTGTTAGGCGCTCGGGACAAATGCAGATACCGCACCAGGTGCTGCAGGGTCAGTTGCTCCTTTTTTATGGATGACCTATAAGTGGGTTGTTTTTCAGGAATGAAAGGCTCCCAACATTGACTGTGACATATGAAACCTTCCCCAGCTTAGAGTATTTATTAAACATTTTAAAGTCAGAATTCATACTACCTATTTTAATCAGACTCGCTAGTTGCATGTCCCAGTACACCAAAAGACACTGGTCCAGTCTTAACGTATTTAGTGAACATTCTAAGAAGTCCTCAAGGAATGTAGGTGCCCGAAGCAGACACACAGGCTGCAGTCAGGAATGGCTGAGTAACGGGAGATGTGTGTCTGTGACGCGCCTGGGAGGCTCGCAACTTGGTTTACCGTCCAGACTTCCCTGGCTGACGCCTGCTCTTCAGCCACATTGGCTGCTTTGGCATACGGTTTTACTTCTTTTCCTCGAATGGAAAACACTTTAGGAATAGCAGATATACACAGATACATGTGAGAGTACTTAGTTCAAACAAAAAGGGATTTTAGTAGACAGTATTAAACTGTATTTAAAAATCAGTGAGAAGTTTGTGCAATTTAAAATGTTTACAAACTGCAGTGCAATCTACTGTTTGTGAATGTCAGAGTATTATCAGGAAAAGTGTACATGCAATCAGTCTTTATTTCCTCACAGTTTCCCTAAGAGTGAAAGGTGTTTTTATATCTTAGTTAGAGGTGTATTTTGTGCAGTATTTATGTCCATGTGCCTATACCCATAAATTTTTCAGTCGTACATTGCTTAGATCATATCTTTACAACACCTGAGAAAGAATCAACCACTTAGCTAAACTTCACAAAGTTCAAACATCTATTCTCCAAAGTACTTGACGTTGTTGGGAATAGGGAGATGGTATTGTGCTCCCAGGGGTGAGAAGTCCAGCGATATAGGACACCTCAGTTGTCAGCACTGGGCGTCATCGTGATCCTCTTACAAATGTGACATCCATAGGAAGGCAGGGACACCATATAATAGGATGAATAACAGATTTGCTCACTAAAAGAATCTGCAAAGATTGGGTCCTTGTGAATTTAACTGACTTTTCCAAATCATAGGAATTATTTGATCTTTTATTTTCTGAACTTTCCTTTTTTTTCACCAAAGCTTCAGTTGAGTTCAGATTAAGGACAGTTACATTAATTCCATTTTATACCCCGAGATTAGATATCTGACCACTGTTAATTCATTGCATTATTAACATAACATTTCTTTTATAATTTTGAATTTGGGCTTATTTAATACCATGACAAATTATTCCAAAGATATTTTTATAGCTCAAATCACCTCACTTTTATAGTGACAAATATAGTTTGTTAGAATGGCAGGTAGACTTTAGCATCTGTAATCCATCTGAAAATAGTGCAGCAGGTAGCCACAGATTAAATCACAGATTGACATGTGTACACTGAATGTCAGTCTGGAAAGTAAATTTGTTCTATCAGATGCAATAACCACTCTTTGTGCAAGTGTTCTGTCATATATTTCAGAGAAAGTGAGAAAGAAATTGTATGACATAAAATAACCTGAAATTCTCCTTCAGAGTGCATACAGTCCTTTGCAGTTCCTCATTCAGCCACATATCCATTCTCTTCCTCATTCAGGAAAAGGTACCTTTCAGTTTGCTTCAAAGGTAACATTAGAAAGAAAGAGTTTATCAGAAACTTACAATTTTTAAATGGAAGTACAGCTGAATAAATTTGAATTCTGTAGTAGTTAATGAATCCAAACCCCTGTTTAAAGATTGCAGTATGTGATCATTATTTTAAAGTATGTGATTAAGCGTGATGGTTTTCCAGCAATGAGAAAAGCAGTTCTAAAACCAAAGCTAATGTTTAGAACATTTGAAAATTTGAATCAACCCCATTCATTGTATTATTTCTCTAAAATCTTATCATAAAGAGCTGTTTTAAAGTAACAAACTATTTTTAAAATGTGTCTACTATTTTAATGTATAAAAATACAATATGAATGCTGGTAGGTTAAAAAAAAGAAACTGGGGAAAGGAAAAGTAGAGGAACACATGCCAATTCCAGTCCAAAACTTTGTTTGCCAAGTTTTCTTAGAATGAATTTTAGCAGGTTATGAATTCTTGTAAATAGAAACCATAATGGGAAAGAGAGACTTTGCCTAGAGTGGCATTATTGGATGCTGCTGTGATGCTACTGTCATGTAATAAATTATTAAATTGTTGCAAAGTGCTGTTTTTGCCTTAAATTTTTATTTGTGTGTCTTGAAAACTATAGTGTTAAAAAGGTATTGAGATTGTGCAAATGCTGGGCACGCTTGGCATGAGATAATCTTTTATTTTTACAAAATTGTAATATAACTATGCAAATGTGTTTATTAAAAGGACACAAGCTATATTACTTGTATTGTGTATTTCTTTGAAGCATTCTTTAAAACTTTTAAATTGTGTTATATACTCACGGCTAAATTCCTTTGGAGTTTCTCTTTCTGTTGAATGGAGTCTCTGGGTACATGGCAGCAAATTATTTTGTATGACAGGAAGCCAAAGAAATAAATGATCAGTGATCCAGGATAATCACATATATTTAGAAAGAAATTTAAACTTTAATGTTATTGCCCACAAAAGTAAAGTAAAACATAATCTAGGATAATAGATTATAATGTATTTATAACTTTTGCTACAACATTTTCCTAAAAAGATTGGAGGGATTGAACAAATTAGTACTCACTCGTAGTGTGAAAAGTCACTGCAGTGAATGCGTCAGACTGAAGCAGAGTATTACACTTAAGAAATCAGGTTCGTGGTTTTAATAGTCCTTGGGTGAGAAGAAAACTATGGATCAAAATCCAACCTCTCCATCATTGCCTACCAGGCACTCACTCTACAAAAAGTCTCTCCTCATCTCTGGAAAGTTACTCAACGAATAAAATGAGAATTTGCATAAAGCCAAGCAAAGGTACTAGGTGCTAGGGATACAAAAATGATGTCGGCTGGTCTCAGCCTTATATGAGGGGGTCAGGACCACAAGCAGATAATTATAAAAGAGCAGACTGAGCACCAAGGAAGTACAGAGGAGGGATACCTAATTGCACTGTACTCCTAGACTGGAGATGGAGAAGACTTCCCAGAGAAAGCAAGTCCACATCCAGAAGATAAGCAGTTGTGGTTGGTGAGGTGGTGGGAAGTATGGTGAACAAGGAGCAGCATGGCCGGAGGAGGAGCTGCAGTTGTGGGCAGTTCAGCATGGTTAGAGTGGCAGTGCCAAACCAGGAACGGAAAGCTGAAACCTGAGAGGCCGGCAGGGGGCTAACTTGGAGATTGCCTAGCTTGGTGTGCATTGGAATCACCTGGGAAACTAAAAAGCTGCCAGTGCCTGGGTCCTGCTGCAGCTGGCCTGAAGTTTGGCCTGGGCGTGGAGAATTTCTTTGAAACTCTCCAGATGATTTTGATATGCAGGGAAGATGGGGGGAAAGTCTGCCGCAGTTCCAAGGGAGAGTTCAGAGTTGGGGATCGATGGAACGTGAGGACAGGTGGGAGAGTCAGGTATTCATTCCCAGGGCTCTGTCTCGAGTGACAGGGTGGGGTAATGGTGCCACCAGCTGCTCCTGGGGGCAGATGCTGACCTATGGCACATGCGGCATCAGCTCTGCATCTGCTGATGGAGTGCATATTGGTAGATGAGTGCAAGGTCAGCAGCTATGGGTTGGATGGTGACAGAAACCCATGAAGATGGGAAACACAGGGTCTAAGAGAATAGAGAGAGCATGTGGTACTGTTAGCAGCATTTTTAGAAAACAAGGAAATTATGAGTGTGCAGCCGTTACTTGTAAGAGTGAGAAGAATAAAAATGCTTCTTACTGAGGACTTACTAAACTGCATATTTTTCTAAGGTTCTTGAATTTATTGCCTGATTGTGTTTTATTTAGAATTTGCAATATTTGGGAGGCAGAGTTACAGAGAGAAAGGGAGAGAGAGGTCTTCCATCCGCTGGTTCACTCCCCAAATGGCCACAACGGCTAGAGCTGAGCCCATCTAAAATCAAGAGACGGGAGTTTCTTCCAGGTCTCCCACATGGATGCAGTGGCCCAAGCACTTGAGCCATCTTCCACTGATTTCCTAGGCCATTAGCAGGGAGCTGGATCGGAAGTGGAACAGCTGGGACTAGAACCGGTGTCCATATGGGATGCTGGTGCAGCAGGCAGAGGCTTAACCTACTATGCACAGTGCCAGCCTCATTTTTTCTTTTTTCAGATGGAAATTAAAACAGTTAAATAACTTGTCCGAGGTTACAAAGCTAGTAAGTAATATAGTTGATTCAGTGTCTGGCTCCCAAGTCCATCCTTTTAAGCTATCTACCAGTGTGATAATATTGCCACTAAGTTAATTGTTTAACTTTTCACTTATGTATTTGGGACAGCTCCCATCCACTGGCTCATTCCCCCAATGCCTACAGTAGCCAGGACTGACCCAGAGTGAAGCTGGGAGCTGGAAACTCAGTGCAGCTCTCCTGCGTGGTGTGGCAGAGACTCAAGTGCTTGGAGCCATTACCCTGCCTCCCACGGTCTGCATTAGCAGGAAGCTGGAGCCAGGAATGAACCCAGACAGTTTGATGTGGGATGCAAGTGTTTTAACCATTAGACTAAACACCTACTCTTGCCGCCATTTCTATAATCATGAAGTTCTGTTGCATCAAAGAAAAAAAGGAAAAATCGGACACTGCACAGTGTTTTCTCTATGTAAAAGGGACACACAGAGAAAAGGCAAGAAAGGAAGGCTTGAATGTGAGAAAGCTGAACAAGAATTTGAAACAGGAACATCTACAAGGGTAAAACAAGTCACTTCTTTATGGCAACAGCTTTCTTGAGCTATTACTCATATATCATCAGATTTGCCTATTTAGTTACAATTCAGTGGTTGTTAGCATATTCACAGTTATGCAGCCATTGCCACAGTCAGTTACAGAATAGTTTCATCACTCAGAGATAGACCAGTACCCTTTAGCTGTCAGTCCCATCTCAGACCCCCAGCCGACACCCCCGTCCCCTGCTCCAGGCAGCCATGCTCCACTTCTGTCTGTAGGTTTTCCAATTCTAAATGTTCATATATATGGAATCAAAGAGTGGGTGGGATTTTGTAATTGGCTTATTTCATCCGGCTTGCTTTCAGTGTTCCTCCATGTTGTCGCATGTATCAGTACATCGTTCCTTTTTGTGAAATAAAAATACTCCAGTGTAGATATACCGTTGTTGTTGATCCATTCATCATTTGATTGACATTTGAGAGATTTCCACTTTTGGCTGTCATGAATAATTTCATGAGTGTTTATGTGTGAGTTTTTATGTGAACATGTGCCTTCATTTTGGGGGGTCATATGCCTAGAAACATTGCTGGGTCAAACAGTAATTCCATGCTTAACTTTTTGAAGAACTATTAGACTTTTCCTCATCATCACCAAAACTCTTTACTTGACTTTTTATTACAGCCATTCACCCTGGTGGGTACAAAGTGACATCTCATTGTGGTTTTCATTTGCATTTCCTCAGTGACTAATGATATTTCTTGTTCTTGTTGGCCATTTGTACTTTTTAAAAAAAAAAAAAAGATTTATTTATTTGAAAGGCAGAGTTATAGAGACAGAGGGAGAGGCCAGAGCCAGGAGCCAGGAGCTTCTTCCAGCTCTACCCCCATGAGGGCAGGGGCCCAAGCACTTGGGCAATCTTCTACTGGTTTCCCAGGCACATTAACAGGAAGTTGGATTGGAAGTGGAGCAACCAGGTCTCAAATCAGTGCCCATATGGGATGCCAGTGTCACAGGCAGCGGCTTTACCTGCTGCACCACAAAGCCGGCCCCAGCTTATCTGCCATTTTAGAGAAATGTCTATTCAGATAGATCCTTTGCCATCTTCATAATCATTTTAAGACTATATTTTCTATGGCACTTTTAAGTTTTCCACAAAATAGAGCAAATGGTACAGATATGACCCTCTTAACCCCAGTCCCACACAAGCTTAGCCTTGCTCATTAACAACATCCCCCACCAGAGCCAGACACGGGTTGCAGTCGAGGAAGCTACACGGCACGTCACTGTCACTCACGTCCATAGTTTACGTTAGGCAGGGTTTGCTCTTGCTGTTGTGTGTTCTGTGGGTTTGGACAAATGTATAATGACATCATGCCCTAAGAATCCTCTGTGCTTCACCTGCTCATCCGTCTCTCCCCTCTAGTGCCTGGTAACCATTGAGATAGATAGATAGATAGAGAGATAGATAGATAGATAGATATTTACCATTGACATTTTTACTGTTTCCATAGTTTTACCTTTTCCTGCATGGTATCAGTATCTGACTTTTACAGATTGGCTTCTTTCAGTTAGTGATATGCATTTAAATTTCTCCCGTATCTCTCCATGGCTTAATAATGTATTTCTTTTTAGTGCCGAATAATACTCCACTGTCTGATTGCATCACAGTCTATTCACTTGCTGTTTGGCAATTATTATAAAAATAATAAAGCTATTATAAATATCAGTGTGGAGGCTTTTGTGTGGATATAGTTTTCACCTCCTTCGGGTAAGTACCAACAAGCACGATTCCTAGTTCATATAGTAAGAGCAGCCTTCGTTTTATAACATCTGAATTGTCTTCCAGAGTGGCTGTGTCCGTGTACATTTGCATCAGCAGTGACTGAGTTCCTGTTGCTCCATGTTCTTATGCGTTTGGTGTTGTCAGTGTTATGGATTCTGGCGATTCTAACATGTATGTTGTGGCATCTTCTTTTTTAACTTGTATTTCCTTGATGGCAGATGACAGGGAGCTTCTCATACCCTTTATTGCCATCTGATACCTTTGTGGAGGTTTCTGTTAAGGCCATTGGCCCATTTTGTCATCACATTGTTTTCTTACTGACTTTTAAGAATTCTTTGTGTATTTTGAGTGATAGTCCTGCATCAGGTCTTTTGCAAAAACCTTCTCCAGGCTGTAGCTCATCTTTTAATTCCCTAAACATGTCTTTCAGATAAAAAATTTAAAGATTTACTTATTTGAAAGGCAGAGTTTCAGAGAGAGAGAGAGAGAGGTCTTCCATCTACTGGTTCGCTCCCCAAATGGCCGCGATGGCCAGTGCTTGGCCAAGCCGAAGCCAGGAGCTTCATCTGGATCTCCCATGTGGTTGCAGGGGCCCAAGCACCTGGGCCATCCTCCACTGCTTTCCCAGGTGCATTTGCAGAGAGATGGATTGGAAGTAGAGTAGCCAGGACTCAAACTGGTGCCCATACGGAATGCTGGCACCGCAGGCTGTGGCTTAATCTGTTACACCACAATGCCAGTCCTAAGAAATTTCTTTTTAAGATTTATTTTTTTTATTTGAAAGGCAGAGCTGGAGGTGAGGGAAGAGA